AGTAAATGAAACAAAAAATATGAAATGGGTAATCAAGATCAAACCTTTAACAGATTAAACTGATTCAAGAATCTCTTTTAACTTCAATTAAAAACCAAGATTTGCTTCAACCAATAAAGTATGAGTTTTTAATTCAAATAATTGTAATGGGGTTGTTGAGATTGATAGAAAATTGAGTATAAATAAAGATATAATTCAATGGTGTGGACTCACGTTCAACTCAAACGCGTTGGTTTTTTTTTTTTCCCTGTCAAACCATGGCGGCTGTTTATAGTATTCTCATGAATCTCCAATAGTACGGTCCATTTTGAACTGATGATATTTTGTCAACATTTTTTATACTTTTTTTTTTTTAAAGAGAGCGCACACTTTTATTAGTTAAGTTTTCTCACTTACGGGCATCGGCTAATTCCACGGGTGGTCATTTCTCACCATCAATAGATAACAGATAGCACTGTCCACCCAGGCTAGAACATATGAGAAGAATCATCTTGTGATTTTTGTGCCTTTGAGTTTTGAACATGAGAGTTCTCAACCACTTCATTGATCACAGGTCACACCCTTGGATATAGTTTCGATTAACTTTTTTTTTAATGATTTCTCACCTAGTGTCCCGTACCCATATTGAAGTTCAATTAAATATGGATTCACGCCGGAAAGTCTCATATTGGGACTAAAATGCTCCCTAATAAAAACGACTCCGTACTGAAGGAGACTCGAACTCGAGACTTCTACTATTTACAATACATTTACTATAACAAAAAAAATTTTCAACGGCAATAAATATGGGCATTAACAAAGAGTATTAAAATCTTCACATTAGTTAATTGTCATTGAATCCAATGTCGTTATAAATTTTAAGAACATTTATAAAGAATACTACTAAAAACACATATTTAACAATAATTAAACTATTACCATTTATTCATTAAAACACTAAAAATCATTTTAGTGTAGTAATTAAATATTATATTAGTAATAAAAAGAGCCATGATGTGAAATAATGGGTGGGGTGGGCTGGTAGGTGAAGGAGACAGTCAACTATGACCTCTATGTTAGGTGAGGCTATTATTTAATTAATTCTTCAACCAAATCTTAAGTCATGCTGACATTTCTTTGTTATTCATTTTTTTTAAGAATCTTCTGTTAACTATTATTGTAAAATGTCAAATATCAACCACTTGTTAAATTGTTGACAAGAATTTTCAAAAATCTATGACCCAAAAACAACATTTTGTACTCAGATTGTAGCTGTACTTTTCAGTTTACACTTGTATAATCAACCATTTTTATATAACTTTAATCAAGAAGTAATTTATCATTTTACACTGTTTTAACCTTATTATTAAATAATAATATATTTCAATATTATAAATAGAAAAAATAACAATCAAGAGGCGGCTTGATTAAAGAAAAGAAATAGTAGAAGAAATAACATAACATTCAAATTATATTTACAATATGGGCTAATGTATTTATAATATTTTGAACTGTGCGGCCCCCCTTGATATTTTATTATTGTGCTTGACTAATGTATGTTTCATGCCTTAATTAGGTATAATACACCAACGAGGGTTGTGGTGGAGGAGTAGTAAGTACTCCTTCATCCTTAACCAAGAGGTCTTAGGTTCGAGTCTTCTTGGGTACATAGTCGCCTTTGTTAGGGAGCACTTTTACCTCCCAATGTGGGACTTCCCAGCGCGAATCCGGATTCAATCGGGCTCCAATGTAGGTACTGGACACCGGATGAGAATAATAATAATAAAAAACTAGGTATAATACATAAAATCATAGTGTTGTGTACATGTGCGAGCCAATTTCTAAAACGATCACTCAACTTAAAGATTAACATTCCATTAGTGTTTTTTGGTTTCCCACCTGGAGTTCGATACCCACATTAGAGCCCGACTAAATTCGAATTCGCACGGAGAAGTCCCATAGGGTATAGCGTTCCCTAATAAAGAGGACCTCTGGTTAAGAATCAATGTTCTCTTAAATTACTCACTTAATGATTAACATTCCATTAGTGTTTTTTTTATTTTCCACCCGGATTTCGATACTCACATTAGAGCCCGACTAAATTCGAATTCGCACGGAGAAGTCCCAGAGGTATAGCATTCCCTAATAAAGAAGTCCCAGAGGGTATAGCGTTCCCTAATAAAGAGGACCTCTGGTTAAGAATTGGTTTTCCACCCGAAGTTCGATACCCACATTAGAGCCCGACTAAATCCAAATTCACACGGAAAAGTCCCAGAGGGTATAGCGTTCCCTAATAAAGAGGACCTCTGGTTAAGAATCAAAGACAGTAAAGATAGAATTGTAAAAAATTCCTTCTTATTTTTCTAAAACATCAAACTATTTATATATCAGAAGGGGAAATAGCTGGCTGTCTCAAAACTGCATATTCATTTCTCTATTGCAAAACAAATGCCTTTTTTCCAAGGGCACATACTTTTCTCTACCTATTACAAACAGCAAAACAGTTAAAATGGGCTCTACTTATCAGTTCAGTTCATCTCTCCATGCAGTTCCTGGCTTACAAGCAGGCAAGAGTGCCAGATTCATGTAGGAGATAGTGGAAGGACACCTTTTATTTCTTATGTTTTTTCTATCCTGCATAAATGAAAACGATAATCAGTTAATTTATGATGGGAAAATACCGATAACTACAGAAGGAAGGAATAACGTTAGCAAAACTTCTTCAAAGTGAACTCAAATGCAAACAACAGTGTAATCCCACAAGTAGGGTCTGGAGAGGGTAGGATGTACGCAGACCTTACCCTTACCCTTTGTCGGGGTAGAGAGGTTGTTTCCAATAGACCCTCGCCTCAAATGCAAGCACATCCATAGAATGTATATGAATAATTAACACTAGTTACCCTGTGAAATTATGGTCCGTAGGGAAATGGTTTATTCACGAAGGCGGGGCTAAAATAGAACTCCAAGTTGAGGTCTTTTTTCCTTTCTAATATGACAGGGGAAAGAACAAAGGTTTATTGACAACAATTACCCTATAAAAATACAATACAGAAAAGTATATCTAAAAAGGAAGTACCAGAACTTTGCCTGCTCTTGCTTTCTTGAAGCCAGAGGGAATTCTAAGAAGATGTTACTGACTAATTTCACAGATTTCCTCTGTCCTTAAAATAAATCTACCGTTTGTTCTTTTCTTGGAGTGGGTGAGGATGGGGGAGGGCTGATCCCTTTTGGGAAGTTCGATTTACAGTTGACTGAAACTATCAACCACAAACTCCTATAGGTAAAGATCTTGCATTAGGCATATAAGCCCCAAACTGATTGTCCTTCCATTCCTTTTGTTCACTAAATACTGCTCACTCTGGAAAGAAAGGTTCCTCATTCTAAACAATACTTTCCAATCACATAAGATGATAAATGTCCTACACAAACCACTTCTATATAGTTCCAAGTTCAATTTATCAAATCATAACTTCATGCATATTTATCGATCCACTCAATATAGACAACTGTGTACAATTCTATCTCAGTTTCATGCCTAGTGAAGTTATAAAATCTGCGTGGAGTTTATCTACCTGATGCAAGAGCTCATATGGTCATTGTTTATGTCACTAACATCTATAGGATATGTCACAGTTCATAATTGAAGACAGAGAAGGCACTACCAACTTGTCTTAAGACTGACCAGAGACACATGCCTTTTTAGTTTAATACTCTAGTTTGCCTCGAGTATTACATCATATAGAAGGCTGCTTAGCGCTAACGAAAGTGGGAATGCCGGGGACTTAAGGTGACAGATATAAGATATCCTTTCATAAACTTCGTATTAGACTGTAGACTACAAAACAAGGAGGAGCACCGTGCTTCCAAAGCGGATTCTAGCATCTTATATAGAAAGCTTATGTCGAGAATACAATCATTTAAGATTTGTCTAACCAAAATCTCAATCAGTTCACAGAAGAATCTTGACAGCTCCACAGAGAGGTCAAAAGCAAAATCCATCCAGAGTATTTGAACAAGCTCGTAAAGAAATTGTACGGTTCAAAGATGCACCCAAGGTGTATACAACAATACCAGCATTCTCTTCTTCATTTACTACTAAACAATCTTCAGTCATTTTGTTAAAACATGACAAGTTCCTTATCGATATCACATCCTTATCTATATCTCCCTACATACTAGCAATCACATAGGGGCAACCTATAACCGAATAAATAACAGGTACAAAGGCAGCATAAGTTCAACTCCAAGATGAATATGGCCAAAAAAAATGATATTTGCAAAGAAGAAAACTCATAGAATTTCACATTCTGCATTTACAACAAATGAATAACTCAACACCTTAAAGGGTACTTTGCATCACCCTGATCCAAATTTCGGTCCACAAGCAATATACATGAGGCTTATCCATTAAAAAAATAGGATTCTAGATCAATTTTGCCGTCGTTTTATAATCTATCAAATGATTTAGAGTACTCAATGAATATCCCCTAGTATTAATTCATTAGTTCATAAAATGAGCCACCAAAATTAGAGTATAATAGGATCATGAAATCAAGGCCTTTCATATCTTCAAACAAAGTGTTGCTGCTCATCTTCATAATGGGAAAAGTATAACTGTACAAACAACAACAATAAAAACATCTCAGACCAAAACTATTTGGAGTAAGCTATTCTTCATTAATCATTCCATTAAAGTCTAAATCCTAAATGAATTCTCAATAACCATTCATATAAATAATCCCACAAAAACACAATTGTGATTCTTCTCATCTGTCCTAGTTTTGGTGGACAGAGTTATTTGGTTCCTATGCAATTAGTGCATGGGCACGAAAGCTGGCTTGAACACTACGATACTAAATCCCACAAATTAATGGAAACCTACTCTGAATTATACTGATCATTCTCAATTGGACTAAATTTTGAAGCTAAATTGAAGTAAAGGAAAGAACTTTTTACCAAGAAAAGTAAAATTTGGAAGACCCAAATAAGATAAATTCAGAAATCTTCATACCTAAATCCATAAAGGGGTTTCAAGAAAGTTGCTTTGCATTCTGATAAAAAGCAGCAGAGCATAAAATTGAAGCAATAAAAGCGAAAATCCCCAACCCAATCATTAGGGAAAATCCAGCTACCACCAAGTCCATCAAACATTGCAAGCTTATTCCCATCACCAACATTTTTTTTCTCTCAAAATATCCTTAATTCTTTCAGCAAAACAATGGGTAATTTTGCTATTTATAGAGTGAAAATATAGATGGATAAGAATGGGTCTTTTGGCACCCCGAGAAGGAAGAGGCAGAGCCCTGTAACTGTATCAACTCAATGCAAAGACAACAAAGCATGTGACGCATAATTGCAGAAAATGCATCGGGAAGGTTGACAAAGGATTAGCAATTCAGCCTCCCTACATTTTTTTTATTGGAATAAATATAAAATTAGAAAATTATTTAAATTTAAATCATTTTTAATTAATAAATATGATATTTTCTCACATATACTAAAAAAGAAAGTATAACACAAAACGAAAGAAAGAGGGTATGATATTGTTTAAGAAGTTTATACCATAAAAATAAGGAAGATATTATAAAGACATAATATATAAATCTGTCATTTAACTTGACATCAACTAGATGTAGGAATGACATGGTATGGTACGGTATGATTTTTCAAAGTGTTGATACCATAATTTCGATATTCGGTTTCTGAAACATTATACCATTACCATACTAATTCAATTCGGTATGGTTCGATATTTTGAAGTTCGGTTTTGATATTCTACAGTATGGTAAATCGGTAATCATAGTTTGTTCAACTTTGACTAATATATACTCATATAGTAGAGTATTATGACTTTGACAATTAAAAAAAGATCTCAAGTGTATCATACTAAACACATTACACATGTAGAAATATATATTCAAAATAAAATATAAACAACTCATTTTGTCAATCAATTAAATTTCAAATTCATTTCAATCAAAATAGAATAATCAAAGTTTCAACTTCCAAGCATTTAGTATATACTAATACTAGGTTGCATATTTGCTAGTATTTTATAATATATATATATATATATATATATATATATATATATACTTCGGTATGATATTCGGTATATACCATACCATGCCAACCCTTAACTAGATGTCCTCCAATTTTGGGTGTGGACAAGGAGACACACGTCATACATAACGCTTTAAGTGTCAATTCACATCCTACATGACCTAGTTCCTACGTGTTTTATGTCACATAAGGCATGCGTGCTTAATTGTTCAAATTTATACAAGTTTAAGTATTTACTTGTGCAATTCCAAAGTTAGAGAGCATGGATGTCAGCTAATGTCAAGTTAAATATTATGTATTAATTATGCCTATTATAAAAGTATGACTTAAGTCATCTATGACCCATTAAAGTTGTCCGCATATTCACTTAGACACCCTAACTAAGGCTAGTACCTATTGAGCACCTAAAATTGTTCAAAACATGTGCCTATTAAACACAAAATGTTGATATGACAGAAAAAGTGTTTCACTTTCCTTTGGCGCGGGAAAATATTTGGAATCGTATTTTATTTTAATGTTTTTCGGCATTGTAAATAACTTAAAATAATTTTTTTAATATTTTGAAAATAATAATTTTTTAATCTAAAAAAAATACACTTCCAGTCATCTTCTTCACCTCAATTAGGTTTTCAAAGTCAACTGCATCTTGTGTCTATTTTTAAAAAAAAAACCAACTAACTGAATTGCAACAAAAAAAAAAAAGATTTTTGGACACTGAAGTAAAAAATTTAGCCGACGTTCATCCAACTCCATTTTCGGCCACCTCCAAACAAACATCACCACTCAAATTAAAATGTAAACTCATTTAACTTATAAAAAATAATATCAGAGAATTCGATAAAATTAATTTTTGTCCTCTTGATTTCTCTTTTGCAGTCGATTTTGAAATGATTATCCATCAACAAATTCCGCTTCTTCATCACTCTTGTACGAGTCTCTCCTATATCTTTCTCTCACGTATTAGGTATGAAATTATTGTTTTTAAAAGTTGAATTTGTAAGTAATTTGACAAGAAGTTGAGTTTTGTGATTTGGGAAAAGTGCAGGGAAGAAGATGAAGAAGAAAGGCGGTGGAGTACCATGGAGGGAGGACCATTTTATAGAGGTTATGACTTAATCTGGTACTCCATCAAGTAACCAATGTACGGACGAGATCTATTCCTTATTAAATATTATTTATGGTATTACTTGGGTTACAAGTAAACTTAGGCCATAAGTAAGAAATAATTAATAATAATTCTTATATTCTCCCACTTGGCCCAATGACCATATAACATTAATATTTAATAAACATTAGTTGCGCATACAATAAATTTCTTCTATAATGTCCATCATACATACCACAATATAACAAACTACTAATGCGAGTTATAGCGGTTGTACATAAATTTTAAGCTACATACTTCCTTCCACATACTACTACATTAGCAACTTATCATACTAGGTTCATAAGCTATAAAAACATATAACTATGGTCCACAATAATGTCTCATAAAGACTTATCTTGTTATATCTCAAAACAATAATGTGTACACCATTATGAGAAACAAGAAATTCATTAATGTATATCAGAAACACATAATTGAGCTCAGAGTGTAAAAACATCATAAATGTATTAATCAAAAGTACAACCAAGACCCATTCTTTGAACATGTTCTTTAAATGTCTTTGGTTGTAAGCCCTTTATTAACGGATCTGCAATCATGAGATCAGTTCTAATATTCTCAAGTAACACTCTTTGTTTCTGAACTTCTTCCTTAACAGTAAAGTACTTTAATTCCATATGTTTGGCACATTTGGAGTACTTATCGTTCTTGGAGAAGAATACTGCAGCAGCATTATCACAATAAATTTTCAACGGCTTGGTAATGGTGTCGACAACCCCAAGTCCTGAAATGAAGTTCCGCAGCCATAATGCATGAATTGTGACTTCATAACATGCTACAAACTTTCTTTGTAGTTCTTTTTTAGTGATCAATTCCAGGATTACTTTGATATCTTCCTAGCATTCCGACCAAAAAGCTAATATACAATCGTGTAACATACATCAAACTTCCAACAATAGAAGATTAAGGAATTGATTTTATTTTCTTTCATTCTACATCATTCTTTGGGCATTGCATGCGATTAAATTTGTCATTTTTTTAATAGGAACTATTCTTGCTGAACAATTGTTCATGTTAAATCTCTCTAGAACTCTTTCGATATAGCCTTTTGAGACAGTACCAATAATTCTTGTGATCTATCATGAAATATTTCTATCCCTATCACATAGGATGTCTCACCCCATATCTTTCATTTCAAAGTTCATAGAGAGAAAGTCTTTCGTCTCACGCAATATGCCTAAATCATTAGCAGCAAGTAAAATGTCATCAACATACAGGACTACAAATATAAACTTACTCCCACTGATCTTTTGGTATATACACCGATCAACGGTAATTTCCTTAAATCCAAAAGTTGTTATGGTATCATTAAACTTTATATACCATTGTTGTGTGGCTTGTTTGAGTCCATATATTGACTTCTTTAGTTTACACACTATTTGATCTTTTCCTTTAATTTCAAAACCCTTTGGTTGGTCCATATAAATATCTTCTTCGAGGTCTCTATTAAGAAATGCAGTTTTCATATCCATTTGATGTAACTCTAAATCATAATAAGCTACCAAAGCCAAAATAATTCTTAATGAGTCTTTCTTTGAGACTGTTGAAAAGGTTTCTTTATAATCAATGTCTCATTTGTGAGTGTATCTCTTGACAACAAGTCTAGCTTTATATCGTTCAATATTACCATTTGAATCACGTTTGGTCTTGAAGACCCATCTACACCCGATTCTTTTAGAACTTTCTGGTAATTGAAAGAGATCCCAGACTTTGTTGTATTCCATGTATTTTAACTCTTCATTCATGACATCAATCCATTTATCATACTCAGTGCTTTCTGTGGCCTGTGAAAATGAAATAAGATCTTTATTAATTTCAATGTCAAAATATGACTCTTGCAAATAAATCACATAATCATCTTAAATGACGAATTTTCTTAATGGCATTGTTTGTGGTTTATTTGTGTCAGCTACTTGTGAGTTAGTTCCTTCTTGAAGTGTTTCACACAAATGTTGTTCAACATTGTTAAAGTGTTCTTCAACAAGAAGAACAACATTTGTGATTGGTGCAGAAGTAGGTACATTCACAGGCAATGAAATATTTACCATTACCACCATTACCTCATTTATTTCCACACTTTGTCGTTCAACACTCCCACCAACTTCACCATTCTCAAGGAATTTTTTAAATGGACCTGGACATTGTTTTGATTCGTTATACTTTATCTGACCTAATGATTTTCACTTTCCTATCTAATTGTCTTTCAATCTCATTAACGTACACTTTGAGAGCGTCCGCTGCTTGAGATTTTTCTTTTAACAAATAGATAAATCCATAACGTGAAAATCATCGATAAAGGTGATAAAATATTTTTATCCACCTAAAGATGGAACATCAAAGGTGGGTCTGCAAATATCAGTGTATATAATTTCAAGAAGCTGAGTGCTCTTTGTGGGTACCTTTCTTGGTATGTTTGGTTTGCTTTCCTTTAATGCAATCCAAACATATATCAAGATCAGTAAAATTCAAATTCGTAAGAATTTCATTCTTTACTAATCTTTTTAATCGTTCTTTAGATACATGACTCAAACGTTTTGCCACAAATAAGCAGAACTTTCATTTAGTGAACTACGTTTAATTTCAACATTTTGATGAATAGTAAGTAGGGATTCAGAAAAATTATTATCGAGTTTCAATCTATATAAACCATCGATAAGAACAACATAATCATAAAAATAGTATTCTTATTGTTGACACCCAATTTTGACCCTCCTTTTTTCTAATTCATTGTTTTCGAATTTTTAATTTAATAACGTATCAAATTATCCTTTTTCACAATTATTTTTACTACTACAACTATTTATCTACTAAAGTTATATGTTTTATTGTCGAAATTACTATTATCACTTTTACACCTCTTTTCCTTAAATAATTGATAGTCATCATTTTATTTCAAGTTTCATTTTTTTATTAAATTAATTATAAGTCAATATTTTGTATTTATATTGTATATTAGCATAAAGTC